AAAAAAAAAAGCTGGTAAATGAATAATGTCCTTCCAATTTGTTTATTTATTTCTCTTTTTTTGATTAAATTATTGATGAAAAAAACTTTTAGTGGAGAAAAAAGATGTAGACGGTAAATCAGATTTGAATTTTCGACCAAGCGCGTTTCGATTTGGTAAACGTGGATCAGTCTACAGCGATGATACTGCAGCAGGTTTGATCTATACAACTAAAAGCTAACTTTAACACGAGATCATCACTTAAACAAGACAGACAATTTGCTGTCTGAATAAAAATGTTTTTCGTTTAGATATGGTAGCGGAAAAAAAATTTTTCTCTTTATTTTACAGTGAACCTCAATAACAATAAGCTTATAAAACAAATTAAACCAAATTTCTTGTCAGGTTCAACAATGCCAACAAAAAAAAAGACAGATTAATAAAAAAAAGTTGCTTAAAAAAGACAAAAAATAAGAAAACATTTGTAAGTTTTTAGAAAATACTGGTTTTTAAATTAAAATTATCATATCTTTCTTTTGAAATCTGCAGTTATTTGAGGTAAAGTGTTGTCTTTGAAATTATAGGTTTAGAAACTTTTTAAATGTGGATTTTTGACTTATCCTAATATTTCTTTTATACGCTTGAAGCGTTTCTTTTTCTCTGTCACCGCATAAATGATAGTAGAAAAGTGTCTAATCAGTTTGAAGTAGGATTGCTTTTCAGGAATTCCATACCTTGTAAAACAGTCGTTCTATAAGTTTCCTCAAAAGCGAAATTCACAATCGAATCGTTTAGGCAAGAAAAACATGCCCGGTATTATACGGTTTGGTAGACGATGAGGTAGGATTTACTGTGGACCGTTTTATGAAAATTCTTTTTATTCACAACTTTTGTTCAGTTAGATTCCCTATACGTCAACGAAGCCTTCCGTATGATTCATTATTTTTCAGTGGACACACCTCGAACGGCACTTGAGACTGCGGCAAATTTAACGACGTTCACCAGCGTTGTTAACACCTTTTGAAGATTATACTTTACAAATTTCTTACTGTTCTATCCCGTAACTGAATTATAATAAAAGTTGCAAAAGATTTTGTCTATTTTTCAGTTATTTTACATATTGTTTTATTTTCAGTTTGCTATCGTAGCACCAAAACCAATACGCTTAAAGATAAGTAACTGAAAGTAACCTTATACGGAACCAATTAAACAGTGGTAGCTGTAAGATTGCAGATGTAATTATTAATTTTTATACTTTAAAAGCTAAAAATAAATACTTAATCGACAGCATACACACTCCCTCTAAAAACGCGTGCTATAAAAAAAAAAGCCAAGTAATTCAACGATTATCAAGAAAAGAAAGAAAATAAATGTAACTTTAAATAGTTTGTTATCCAACTAATATTACCTTCGTCATATAATCTTTTTTAATTCATATAATCTTCTTTAAATACTTATTGGAAATATTTGTTTAAAACCTAAACAGTTCTTATAACAAACAAAAAATATAATAAAAAAAAAACGCATTTTTGACGTCACTTTTAATTGGATACCATTACATTTACATTAGTACAAACAGTTAATGATAATAATGGTGCAATTTAATGTTATTAGAATACGATGATGTCACTAAGTAATGTAATATGTAACATCACTTCAAAACGTTTTTCAAACTTTTGTAACTTCAAAGATTTAGCCCCACTATTTTAAACCAATAAATTTTGACTCAAGTGAAGTCTGCAAAACCTTATTGACTTTTGTCAACCGTTAAGAAATGGTACATTTACAGCGATACTTTGATACAAGTATACAAATGTTAAAGATATAATGCAGTAATTCTTCATCGATAAAAAAGAACAACCTTTTAAAAAATAAAATTTTATGGCTCGGAAAAAAACCATAAATGCATTACAGCAGCTCTCAAATATAAGTGTCAAAGTCTTCAACTTTGTTTTCTTAACCACAATGCACACCTTTCAGAATTTAGTAACCACACTGTCATTATTTAAGGTAGAGCTAATAAAAAAAAAATAAAACTTTTGAATAAATTTGAAAAAATAAGTTTAAAAAAATTAAAGATAAGTCCCATTAACAAGAATTAAAATAATTATACAGAAACGAAATTTATTCAACTTAGAATGAAGGCAAATTAAACCCAAGCCATCACTGCATCGCATCTAAGCCTGGCTCACTTAACTGGTACATAACCATTTTCAAAACCTAAGTATTAATACTGAAATTTTGTTGATTTCCAAATATCTTTCATAGTTTATCAAATTTGCACTGCAGTTATTATTAAGCAAAAGGCTCTCTGCTGCAGCAAAGTGAGCTAAAAAAATGAATTAAATTAAAAAAAAATTAGCTTTTTAACCGTTAAATTGTAAGTTCTTCTCTTCTGTAACCTATTGAAACGTACACTGCATTTTAAAACTCTTTAAAAAAAAACCTGTAATATTAAAAGCGCTTTCTTTTCTGCAATTGCTTTCTCTCTTTTAATTTTTTTTGCAAAACAGAATCTGATCAAGAACTTAAATTAACCCTTATAAAAAAACTTTCTCAAAAATAAGAACAATTAAACTGTGGTTTTCCCAGCCATATAATTCAAAAACTTTTGCTTTTTATTCAAGATTACAAATGCAGTGTGATATTGATGTAGCAGAAGTTCTGCCTCTTCCACAGCAACTTAACTTCAACTGAAGTTTCGTTTAAGCATTCATCAAACTTGATATCTTGCTACAGTAGTTTTTTGATAAATCTATAATCCGCTTGAAGCCTTTGCTACTCGTTTCAACAGAATTCTGGTTAATTCAAAAATAAATTGAAAAAAATTACAGTTAAACAGTTGGTAGTAATCAGCTCAAATAGATGAGTTATGCATAGTAGTTGTCGTGACTGCAGACAAAATTCTAAAATTTGAAGAGAAGCCTTTGTCAGCTTCTCTCCTACAATTTCCTATGAGACCTTCCTACTACTCTT